GGGCCAAAGCCGTATCTTGGGGTCTCGCCATGCGTCTGTCGGTCGGTGTTATTGCACCTGAGTTCTCCAAGGCCAACAACGTAGCATTAATTTCGCGTGTCAGCGCCTTTAAAGGGTTCGTTGCACATGGGACATAGAACTGCCGGTCCTCCAGTAAACCTTTGGCTTTTTGAAGGTAGTCTGTCCTGTCCAGTACAACTGTGGCGCGTCCTTTGTCCGCTGGCACGATGACCAGCTCTTTGTCGGCCTTGAGTTCTCTAAGCGCATCACGTTCGACCTTGGAAAGCACTTCCCGCGGCCTGTGGGCCATCAGGAGAGACGATACTTGGTGTCGGATGAGGTTCTTAGTCTCCTCCGTTGCCTCCGTCTGACAAAGGATTGATTCCACTGCCGCAATCATGTTAACAGGTTTGGCGTCAGCCGTGTTAAATGAAGCTTCGTGCCGTAAAACCTGCATCTGATCCTTCGTCAGCTCCTTTGATGACAGGTTGTGCACCCGTTTGTCGTTTCTGGGCGACGTTGGATTGAGCAGCTTTCGAAATTTGTTCTCCATTGCTGCGTCGCTTCTTCTTCGTCGCTGCGTCTTCTTCAAGACTACTTCCTGGGACTCGGCTCTTCGCTTCTATTGGCAATTCTTAGACTTTTTAAAATATGAATAAGACGGAATCAGCTATAGAGGCTGGATGTAGAGGACTCACCGTGTTCGCCATTCGGATTCTTCTGTAGTAACAGAAAAGGCCGTTTAAGTAGGCATTCCACAAAAACCGTCTGAAGTAAGTTTTGATGACTTGGGCAAGGCAAAGTAGACTCCCAATAACGGTAGATGCTTATTTAAATGGGCAGTGGGACATTCATAGCCGCCTACTCCGCCATATCTATAGATCCGCGACCGGCTGTTTCACTTAATCTAGTAGGATTTCGGTTGATAGGGAAGCCTGATTATACGGCAGTCATCAAAAATGTCTACGACTAGCACTTCAGGCCATGAAATTATAATCAGCAGTTCAAAGGAGTCCAGATACCGGAATAGACTTGGCTTAAATAGAAGCACCCCCACGTAAAGCGGTGAAAGATATAATACATATAAACACTTCGGGTAGATGTTGATTCGGGATTACATCATCTGCTCTAAGGTACATCCCATTAAATAATGAACAAGAATTTGCTATCAATTAAGACGTTTTGGAAAGTTAGAAGCATATAAAGTTCGAATAACTTCAAGGTTTAAATGCAAGGTTTAAAAGGCATGGAAGGCAAATACTAGGGAGTCGTGAGAAGCACACTGCCTATTGAAAACAAGGTTGGTTAAATAAAAAAAGAGGTATCGAAACACATCCGCTTACCAAAGCGACGTTCTGAAGCCCCAGAAGACAAATCAAGGCCGTTCTTGGCCCTATGGATGCATTGCAGACCGGAAGGTGATGCGTCGGTGAGCCACTGTAATGGGTTTGTCATAACGGTGACGTGTCTTTAATGTAGGGTGAGGAGCCGCGTTGCTTGTAAGTGGGCTAGAAGAGGTAAAACCATCCCACCTTTATGATTCCCAGTCTGAAGCCTCCGTGGTTGAGAATCAACTGTCCTTACACCAATCTTGGTTTTTGTATCTACGCAGACTCTTCTTATCACCACAGCAGCCGCGTTGATGATGTCGCATGCGCTCATGAGTACCCTGTTTGTCCTCTGAGGCTCAGTCAACTAAAATGCGCATATAGGCCCTAGGAAGCTGACAGAAGGATTCCACAGCGGTTAGCAGATGCCACTCCAGTGTTTCAGATCCAGAATCTATTTCTGGCACTGTAATCGTTTTCTCCACCATAGGTTAGGGCATCTTCTAAACCAAAACGTTGTCTAGACGTTCACCGCTTCCCTCAACCACTACCCAGATTATAGACGCTTGCGTGCTTTTGAAAACCCAAATGAATCCTGAAGTCGCCTCGTCATCACATAAATTCCTCTCCCGTTTGCTGTCGCGTTCGAGTTCCGAAGCAAAGACTTTTGCAACTTCTGTGCCCATTTAGACTAAGACATCTGTGAAGATGAGTTTCGAGTCAGAATTACACTTTTACGTGTAACGTAATCACTTCATCCATAAATTTAACACGAATAGGCAAGTTGTGTGGGAGGAAGAGAGAAGGTAAGGCTGCAATTCGCCTGACATGGGAGTGGGATGGATGGGAGAGGCCGTAGGGGGAACTGCGTAAATAACCTTATCTGTTGCCTCCTCAGTATTTTGTCCCTAACCACTTCCCGTTTTCCAGGGGTAGGGGTGAATATTTACCTATTCTGGAAGCTACAACGTCCACTTGTGAATGTTCCTTCTCCTGTAACATTGGCATGAGCGATAGATTACATTTAAAGACGAAAATTGGCAATGCTACTTACATACGTCCTAGACCCTTTGCTGATCAGTCTTAGGTGTGATTGTCCATACAGATGGACACTGTTGTACTCGTTCTAGCAAAAAGACTGTGCGTCGCTTTAACCCCAGTTCTTTATTTTAGGCCGCAGTTAAAAGTAACATTTGCTTCACTGCGGCCCCAGTGAAGTTATGACAATGCTCCAAAGACCTAAAAACAGCATCAGTCGTTAGGCCGGCCTCCATGCGCATTGGAGCGGCAATGGTACTACTATGGGCTTTCGGACGCGTACAGGAGCTAAGTTCAAAGACGGAGAATGCAACAGCAACAATAATGACTAAACAGTTTTGTAGTCTGTCAATGCGAGATGTGTCCGTGGTTGGGTTGGGTTCACGCCGTCCGATTCAGTGGTCTCTCGGCGAGGGGACTGCATCCGTCCAGGGTTGGAAGCTGAGCCGCACAATGTGGCCGCGTTAACGTAACTCGTGATAACAGGGGACGGGTAGACGGACTTGTATCAACGGGCCTGTTTACAGAATTGGAGTCAGACCCGCGCCTCCAGCAGTACTCACCCAATCTTGTTGTAGGTCCGCGTCATTGTTCGCATGCTCGCGAAGTGAAATTTACTGCCCTCTAGGGTGTGAGTAGCGCCATTGCGAACGTGAGAGACACGATTACCAGTCCCCGATTATGGATATCAGGACAAGGCAGGAGTTATGAAAGAATTAATAATCAAATGTCAAACGACCTGATAGTCCAACAAATGCCAAGCGCCTCGCGTTGAGCCGTGTTCCTTCCATTCAGTTAAACAAACTGTAAGTTTAAGAATGATGAACCTACAGACAAAGGCAATATAGTCTGGCACCTCAGCACAGTACCCCCCTCCGAGACCGGAGGGCGGCGGAAACGACGCCGAAGGATGTATACAAGTCTAAAAGAAGTGACTGACTTACCGATCCGGAAAGTGAACGTGACGATCACTGCGAGTGATGTATACGGGGTCCGTAGAAGAGTGGATACGTCCTGTGGCGGCGGTGTTGGAGGTAGAGGACAAGGGGCGAGAGGGAAAATATAGGACGGCAGATTTAAGTCTGGAGGAAGTGATGAAGCAGAGGGTAGGGTACAACAGGACTCGTCCGATGGAAAGTCCAGAACAGATGCTTAGAGACAGTCCACGTTCAAGACCTCCGCACGATTATCACGGTGAATGAGGAGCATCTTCGTCCCGCGTGAGAGCACTCGGAATGGGCAGTCACACGGCGGTTCCAGAGGCTGGCGGACTCAATCACATCGGAGGAAGATGTGAGAGCACTTTGCCAAGTCCTTCTCGAGATAAGACAGAGAAAGTGACCGCATAAACCGCCGGAGGCGGTGCAAGGGGTTGGTGAGATCCTCGATCGCACCTCGCAGGGTTGGTGGGATCATCTCTCCGAGCAGTCGGACGGTGGCGCCGAACACCAGTTCAGCTGCGGAACAATCAAGGTCTGCCTTGAAATCGCAGTGGATGCTCAAGAGGACCAGAGGATGATGTTCTGTCGAATTTTCCGGATCGGCCGCAGCGCCTAGGTAGGCCTTCAGCTGGCGGTGAAACCGCTTGATCATCCCGTTGGCAGCCGGGTGATAGGTTGTCGTCCGGATGCGGGTACAGCCTATAAAAGGGAGAAGAGTCTGGAAGAGGTTAGACTCAAACTGGACAGCGCGGTTAGTCGTAATAGTGGAGAGTGCACCAAAGATGGCAACCCAACAACTGAGGAAAGCCTTGACCAGCGTTGGAATAGCATTGACAGGCAGAGGGATAGGTTCAGACCACCGAGTGAACCGATCCACACAGGTGAAGAGGTAGGAACAACCATTGGACAGAGGCAGGGGGCCTACAATGTCCAGGTGAACGAGGCTGAACCTTGCGCCAGGGCCGGGAAACGTGCCAATGGGGCCTTGTTGTGCCGCTGGACCTTGCTCCACTGACAGACGATATAAGTCCGTGTTCATTCTTTGAGGTCTTTGTGCATGCCAGGCCAGACGAAGCGGTCTGAAACCAACTTGTCGACGGATCGACTCCCAGGGTGTGATAGATTGCGCAGGGAGGAGAAAACTTTGCGGTGGAGGGATGGTGGCACAATTGGACGATGGGATGGGGTGGATACGTCGCATAAAATGGTGCCGTTGCCAATTTTCAGTGGTAGCTCCTGAAGTTGGTGTACGGAAACATCCTCATCACAGGGTAAACCGACACGGCGTTGTTCATGGGCATCTCAGCGAGGTCGATCCCGGGTGAAAGCTGGAGGTGAGCGATAGAGAGTCTGGAGAGTGCATCAGCTATCTCATTCCGTGAGCCATCAATATGGTGGATGTTTGAAGTGAACTGCGAAATGTAGTTCAGGTGGCGAATTTCCCGGGGGTTTAGTTTGTCGGAGTGGGGATGCAGAGCAAAGGTGAGTGGCTTATGATCTGTGAAAATTGGGAACTCTCGACCTTCCACTAAATGCCGGAAGTGCCGCACGGCAAGATAGACGGCAAGAAGTTCCCGTCCAAATGTGCTGGAACGGGTTTCTGTCCTGGATAATTTCCTGGAGAATGCCAAAGACACGGCGAAATTTGGAAGACGTTGTTGGAGAATCGCACCAACAACAACGTTGGTAGCATCGACCATCGGAGATATGGGTGCATCAGCATGTAATTGAGTCAGGAGTGTGGCATCAGCCAGAAGGGCTTTTAGCTGCTCAAATGACGTGAATGCTGCTGGTGTAAGTTCAAAGGTGCGCTTAGAACCTTCAAGGAGACTGGGGGGTTGGAAGACGGTGTCGGCACAGTTCGGAGAAACCGGCGATAAAAGTTCACCATACCAAGGAACCGTTGAAACTGACGCTTCGAGGTAGGGGGTGGAAAGTTTCGAAGGGCGGCAAACTCTGCGGGAAGAGGTCAAATGCCGTTTGATTCGATCAGATGACCTAAAAACTCAAGAGATGCGGCTTTTAGACACATTTAGCAAGATACAGGGTGACACCAAACTGCTGAAATTGGTTGTAAGGCAGGGTAAGGTGTTGGAGATGTTCCTCAACATCCCGACTGGCGACGAGGACACAATCAGTACACGCATAAACAAAATGGAGTCCACGTAAAACGCGATCAGTGAAGCGTTGGAAGGACTGAGAGGCATTTCGGAGACCAAATGGCATATGAAGATATCTGAGCAAGCCAAGAGGAGTCGTCACAGTCGTTTTGGGGACATCCTCAGGTGAAATCGGAATTTGGATGAACAGCCCAGACTGAATCAGTCTTCGAGAAAACGGTTTAGCAAAAGAGAGCTCCGGCAAAGTCCTGAAGGCGAGAAACCGGATACCGATCGTGCATAGCGATATTGTTCAGGGCTCTATAATCGCCGCAGGGACGCCAATCATCCGTTTGTGGTTTAGGAACCATTTGCAAACGAGATGCCCAGGGATTCTCAGACTGTCGAATAGGCCCTAGTTGCAACATGTGATCGAATTCAGCCTTAGCAACCGCAAGACGGGTGGAAGCAAGACGGCGGAGACGAGAGAAAACTGGGGGACCAGTCGTTTTATCTGCTGAACAGTAACATGGGACAATGAGGAGTCAGAAAGGTTGAGATTAGTCAGAGTAGGGTAGTTTACTAAAAGTTTACGGAGTGGACAGTCAGGGTTTGGGTCAAGGACGAATAGAGGGTTAGAAGATGACGATGGAGGAAATCCTTTGACGGAGAGGGTATCTGCGCAATCATAGAGGCGCAGTTTCCTACAATCAACTAAAAGGTCAGAAGCGCTAAAAAACCAACACCAAGGATAGCAGTAGGAACATCAGCCACTACAGAGATTCAAGGGAAAAGTCGCCTGAGACCAATGTCAAGGGAAATGGATCGGGATTCAAAAGTCGCGATGGGGGAAGAGTTCACGGCCTGGAGAAAAGACCATGGTTGGGGCAACGTCGGTCGGCTGCGGTAGGGGGGATAACACTAATTTGAGCGCATAGTGTCGGCTAAAAAACGCCTGTTGCTCATGTTATCAAGGATGTAAAAGGTGCGACCGGTAGAGTTGCCAGAGTCTTCAGCCGCATTTATTCTCCGGCCGAAGAGTTTTCCTGCGAGGATTTGAAGGAGCAGGGTGGCACACAGTAATGCGCCTTATCGCCAAGGTTTACATGATACCAACATAGGCTTGCTGTCCCAGGGCGAGAGCGGGAACGACGACGGCGACGGCCAAAGGAACGTCGAGATGGGCCGGCAGATTGACGCAACTGCAAGGCGGCAACAGTCGCCGACAACTGGGAAATCTGTGTCTTTAGCTCAGCCAGGCAGAGGTTAACGCAGTGAGAGGCTGTGAGATCTCAGCAACCGTCTTGGGTGACAAACGCTCAACCTCCATCATACGATCGGCCATTTCTGCTAGTTTTGAGAAGTCTAAATCACCTGAGCCGGAGGCTAAGATCCTTTGCGCCGATGTCGGCAGACGTTCTAAGAACATCACTTTAAAGAACTTATCGTCAATGGCCATGTTCCCAGCAAGAGAACGCCTATGACGCAGCAGTTCCGACGGCTTACGATCACCTAAAGCCTTTTCTTTTACAAGTGCGTGATAACACTGGCGATCTGCGACTGAGGTCAGGCAAAAACGTTCAGCCGGGGGATCACGCAAAAATGATTGCACTTGGGAAAGAACGGTAGGAGGAAGGACCTCGACCAACTTATAATACTTGTCGGTTTTTCAAGTTATCTTTGCAGAGTGAAATGTTGCCTCAGTATCGAAGAAAAAACGTTCTGGCGCATGTCACCAAAAGTCTAGGAGCGACAAAACAACTCCATTGACAGAACTAGTGGTATCGTTAGAATTCGTAGAGGCCATGGTGGTAGACATAATCAGGGAGAACGGACTATATACAAGCAGTAAATATAAGTCAACAGATTAAAGGCGTAAGCCTGAACGTCGAAAGTGTCATTACTATTGCGAACGCGAAGGACACGAGTTCGAGGTGCCTGAAGTTCAAACTCGCGCTCTCCAGACTTAGTAGTTTGACGATCCAACCGTTGAGCCACAGGCTGGTTGTTCTATCGGTTTTGATTGGGTATATTAGATATGCTGGAGTGTACTCACCGACTGCTTTAGGGGACTTACTCGACATGTTCAGTGGGTGCTCTCTAACATGGTTCCCACGACGTGGTGACTTAATTAATAATATATATTGTAGTTCTGACATTCTGTACAAACCCTTTTAGTATAGCAAACCAAGTGTTGCATGTCAGTACAATACCCCCTGCTTAGAGAAGGAATTTCAAATATGCGAACTAAGAAATAATGAAAAATAAATAAATTATTAGGCAGGGGACACGTGTGGGTAGTGATCAAGGAATCGGACAGCTCGATCGTCGATCGTAAGTGGTGAATATGTGGGTATATGAAGATACGCGACCTTGTCAGTTAAAAACATGCGTGGTGATTTCGTAGGAAGCATCATCACGCGTGGAGAAGCCTAATCTGATGGAGGAGATTCCGTATGAGCCAACTTCAATTGGTCGACTGAAGTCCCTTGAGCGTGGTCACCGTGGAGATTGTGAAATTCTTGGGGTACGCAGTCCCTTTTAGGATAATTCTGATGGCTTACCAACGATATCGACGAGGTAAACCTAAAAGAACTGCTTCCTGGAAGTCACTTCGTTTCTGTCGACAAAAGAACAGCTTTTCAAGCTAAGGAGACTAGATGACTTAC